TTGTTGTTGTTGTTGTTGTTGTTGTTGTTGTTGTTGTTGTTGTTGTTGTTGTTGTTGTTGTTGTTGTTGTTGTTGTTGTTGTTGTTGTTGTTGTTGTTGTTGTCATCTATAATTTATACACTTAACCTCCTTGTGGTTCGACCCCGGTCTTGCCGGGTTATTTATTACTTCGACACTCCTGCACTTGGGAGAAGACATCAATCTTTTCGTCGTGTCAATGACTTTTGTTTTTAAAATGAGTTGTGTATGTTAAATATTTAGTTATGTGAAAACACATTTTAATATTTACGTGGGATCCATCAAATTATGTTAAAAATATAGATTTATAAAACGCAACTTCACTATTAATGAGAACAATTGAGTCATTTTTTACTATTATTGTCACTCCTTTGGCTGGATTGGATCTGATCCAAAATTAAATGCATTGAATCGAGTTCGACTTAGTTAAAAAAAATTAATTTTTATTTTTAATTATATTTTATTTAAAAAATTAGAAGGAGATCACTTAATAATATAGTATTTTCAAAATTTGATCACATTTCTAATTTTGTTCTCGATGATACTCTACTTGATATTGTTGCACGCTTAAGAAACCAAGAAAACTATGATTTTTGTTGGATGGATTTCATACATGATAAAATTATCGATAGTTAATAAAACAATAAAAAATATTTGATATAAGTATTATTTATTTCATAATATAATAGTAGTAATTAAATCTATAATATTTAAATTAAAAATCATTAATATATATATATATGTAAATTATTTTATAACCTCAATTAAGTATTAATTAAGTATTCTTTTAATGAAACATATTAAATTATTTTTTATTCAATTTTAACTTTAATTATAATTTTAACCAAAAAAATATAAATATCAAACCAACCTTAACTAAAAATATTTTTATAAATTTTTTAAATTATAAAAATTATTATAATACAAAATATCCGTTGACATAAACAAATAACACCAATTTTACTTGGTGTAAATGTCTCGACAACAAATGGTTACTTTTCTTTTAAGAAATTAATGAAGAAAAAATTTGAAAAAAAAAGAGAAAAAAAAACCTAGAGGTAATGCCAACTCCTAGTTGATCTACCTACCAAAAGGTCATACCAAATGCTAGCCCTCCCTGGTTGTTGGATATGGTGGCTAAAGGGCTATAGGTTAGGCTTCAAAACTGCCAGCATTCCTTTTGACTTGCGCCGTTGCACTCATTAATTTATTGGCAATAATGAAAAAAATTGGTCAGAAAATCTAGTGGGGATGGTCTATTTTAATCAAATATCAGGCCATGAATTTAAGTCAGATTCTCCTGTCTTCTGCCGTGGAGGTACCTTGGCCATTGTGAGGTAGGTTTTAGAGTTTACTATATCATTTTTCTAGTAATTCATTCATAGAAACTAAATCAAATTTGATTGAGATTATTGGTAATTCCCTAATTTGAAGTCTCAGAATAGAAGGGAAAACTTGTAAATATATTCTCCTCTTCCCAAGGCAATCACTACAAGCATGCTAGTTCTAAAAAGGGTTATGAAAAAAAGAGAAAACCAAAGATTTCATATAGTATTTTTGATCAAAAATTGCTTTGAGGGATTAAAATCTATATATTATTGAAAGATATGAACTCCCTTTTCTTCCTCAATGCTTAATATGATAAGGTTTATGGTAATCCTTGTTGGTTTCTATCAATCGGATCGATGAATGTCATGATTTGAATGCAATTAAATAAAATAAAAAAATAAGGTGTAAATGTGAACTTTTTATATAAATATAGGGTAAAAAGAGATTTCTCTCTTTAAAATTACTTTCATGCTTTAGTAGTAGAGAATGTTTAAAGTGGCTGACTTGGTTTAGATTGTGAAAATTGGTATAGTTTTACTAATCCCTCGTAATTCAAAATTTAACTCAAATTAAATTAGAATAGACTAATTTTTTTTTGCTAATCAAATTAAATTAAATTAGAGTAGACTAATTAAGTTAACTCGATAAATCACAATCAATCCAACTAGTTTTTTTTTTGTAATTTGATTCGTCAAATCTAAAAGAAATCAAATTAACATGAATATTTTATTAAAAATTAAATCATAATAAAATAATTTTAATAAAAATAATTAATGAGTAAGTTTGGTTATTTTTAGTCGGTCAGGCACATCTACCTAAAATTAGATTCAGAAATTTTCTATGTAATAATTTATCAATAAACTAAAGGTGACGCTTTAAGAAATAAGAATATGATAAGAAAAAATTAAAATTAGGATAAGGATCAAAATAGCTGTAGGATAAGAGATATTTTGGAGACACCCACTAATATGTATATTTGTGCTGTCCACCGTAGAATTTTGACTTCAAATTTCTAGGCTTTTCAATTAAGATAAAGATTAAATTACCTTAATGAGAAGGCATAACAAGAAGCAGAATTTAATGTGATCTTGCAAAAAAAATAAATGACCAAATTCTGCCAAACACTCATCGTGCGATGCAACTGAGTAATTGAGGGTTTTGTACTCATATTTCTTTTTTACAAAAATCACTCTAAATTCCACAGAAAATTCAAATAAAAAAATATAATAAAAAAATAAAGAAACAATGCATTCCCTATATTAAAATGTGTTATAGAAGCCAAGGAAAATTTCCTTGCCAATTTCAAAGAATAAAATAATGTATTTAAAAACCGATTGGATTAATATTTAGTTTGATATATGAACATTGACCCAAAAATATTACTATAGTTTATAAGAAGATGAACAAAGAATAACACATCTACTTTTTCAAATAATATACTCGATCCAAAAATACTATATATTATAGTTTTAAAAAGGAATGAGACATCTGCTAGCGTGGAGAATCAAATAATATATTTTAGAGCATGATAGAAGTGAATACTTGTGAAGGAGAATTTACTAAGGTTTTTGGGAATGCAGTTGCAAACACATTCCTTTAAATTTCAATTTTTTTTTTCGTTAAAAAATTATTTTTTATATTTTTAAATTATTTTAATGTACTAATTTTAAAAATAATTTTTTTTAAATAAAAAATATTTTAATATATTTCTAAATAAAAAATATTTTAAATTATAATAGATATTACAATTACATATAGCTTCTAAGATGAGAAGCATGTTAATAATTAATAGTTTTTGTTTTATTATTATTATTTTTTTCAATTGAGAATTGATTTTTTATATAGTCATTATTTTTTTTTTTTCTTTCAATTGAGAATTGATTTTTTATATAGTTTTGAACTTTTAATATGATGTTGTTTAATATATTTGTGTATTTATAAATAAATAAATACAAAGTACGTTATACAAAGTACATTAGGTTTAAATTATAGATTAAATAAGTTAATTTAAATAAATCTAAAATAATATTATTTTATTTTAAAAAAAACCAAATCAAATTTTGATAGGTAAACATCCACCCAAATTTTCTTGAATCAATGCATAAAACCAGGTTGGATATGGTTTAATAAATAGATATAGTTTGGAAGTTATGTATCAAATAATCTTTTGAATTAAATTGGTTGAAGTCTTATTAAATTGATTTTATTTGAGTTTATGCAGTAAATAAAATTTATCTTTCATTGTATAAGTTTGAAACCCAACAACATTATCCATATATATATATATATATATATATATATATATATATATATTTATTTATTTGTACGTGACACACCAACAATATCTCTTATGTAATTAATTATTATTTGCCGTATTATTCTTACAAAAATTAATCTTTAGTGGCTCCACAAAACTGTCACCTACCTAGAAGTCTTTCATATGTCAAACCTTTTGGTCTTCTTCTATCTAATATTTTTTTTTTCGTATGGTAAAAATATATTACTTAAATTACATGTAACTCCTTTAAGTATGACTTAGATTCCAGTTAGGTCCCTTATTTTTGCCAAAAGTCTTCAATTGAACCGTGAAGTTTTAGTAATCAATTCCATATAAATTCATACATAAGACTCACAGGTGTGCCATCACAGGGAACAGATAAATGCATGTTTGGCAATATAGTGTTTGAGAAACCATCACTCTTTCATGGGAAATCCATTTCAATTCTGAAAAGTATAATTTAATTGTTTAGATCTTGAATTTGTTTTTTTATAGATTATTAGTTCGAGTTTTATAAATTTTAGAGTCATTAGAAATTTACATAATTATTAACTTTAGAGTCCGTAAAATTAGTTAATGAATGTATAAATTGACCCGAACACCCATATTAATCTAAAAAAATGGATTAGATTTGTATTTATTTACTTGTTTGTTATTAATAAATGCATAAATTGACCTGAACATCCATATTAATCTAAAAAAATGGATTGAGTTTGTATTTATTTACTTGTTTGTTATTAATATTTAAATTTTAGATATAGATACCATGAATAAAATTCTCATAAATTCTTTAGTTCCACATAAATATTTTACCTTTGATAATAAAAATAAGAGGCATGGACTTAGTTTTGGCATGAAAAAACACATGATTGTTTCTTGCATGACATCCCTTAAAAAAAAACAGAAAAAAATTGCTCTTCCCTTCATGCATTTTAAAAATCAAATTAAGCTAATTAATCTCAAATCACACCTTTAATCCAATACATGAAAGAGATTGAAAGCGAATTAAAGATGTTGATTTCTTTTCTCTCGTCTCTATGATTCAAACTTTAACAAGTAGACCCATAATCAAAACTTTTATAATTGTTAGAGGACTCAATTGTAGTTTGCTCAGACCATAAAATAATTGCTTTGAGTCATTAAATTAATTAACCAATCACTAAATCAACCCAAGTTAATATCTTGATTAAATCAGGTTTAGTCAAATTAAATGAATCATTAAAACTATTAAGATGGACGGAGTTTTATAAAATTAATATATCATTTAATTTAAATAAAATCTCCATCTAAATTAAATTTAAATTCTCAATATTCTGTATTGACCAGGTATAACCTGATAAATAAAATTATGCATGCAGAGGATTATTATATATTTTTTTTCCGTTTCCAAAAAGACGAGGATATCTTCACTCGTCACGTGACTTTATCATACAAGAGAGAGAAAAAAGAGCCAAAATCACGCAAACCAGGAAAAATTAAAGTAGAAGAAGCAGAAAGCCACACCGATTAATGGCAGCTGCGGCGGAGGACACGGTGGAGGAAGAGGTAGGTCGAGTGGTGGAACAAGCGAAGGAGTTGCAAGAAACCGCTGCTTCTTTAATTGCTAAATCTACACACGACGAACTATCTGTTCGCCAAAAAGCTCTCTCTCTTGAGTCTTCTATTCGGCGTTGCAGTTCTCTCCTTCACCGAAACAATCACATCGCTCCTAAATTAGCTGCCAAGGTAGTTAATTAGATTTAATATTTGCTCTGTTGTTGTGTAGATTGGATCTCTTTTGCTCTTCTGATTGATTGATTGATTTTGTGTTGTTTTGTTTAGCTTGAAGAAGATTTACAGAAAGCAAGATGTATTATAGCTGATGGAGAAGCTTCTTCTTTTCTTCCTTCAAAGTCTCAAGGTCTTTTTTTTCCTCAAGATGTAATTCTTTTACTACTATTATTATTGTTGGACTATTCTTAATTGATTAATGGAAAAACCAAATAAATTATCTGGAGTTTAATGAGGTATGTTGTTGATATTTGCGTGCAGGGCGTTTTCTAAAAATGTTTTTGGGACCGATTAATGTGCGTGCTTCTCGTAAAGATGTGCAGTTCAAGGTTAAAGAGGAGTATAACAGTTACAGGGTATGCTTTATTTTGTTTTAATTCTATCTCTTTTAAAATTTTGTTGAAAACTTACAGTGTTGTGTTTCTCCGGGAGCAGGATAGGACTGCACTTTTGTTTCTGTTTTTCCCATCGGTTTTGCTTTGTTTGAGGTCTTGGGTCTGGAATGGGTGCTTGCCTACGTTTCCAGTTCAATTGTATCAGGTAATTCGTTGGATTTTTTACGAATTGAGAAATTTTGTTGATATTTTCTTATTTCGTGCAAGATCAGGTTTTTACATTTTTGGCTTGTGCTTTGATAGGCGTGGCTATTGTTTCTCTACACTGGATTGACTTTGAGAGAGAATATATTGAGAGCCAATGGAAGCGATATTCGGTCATGGTAATTGCAATTCTGGCTTTTCTGTGCTTTAATATGTTGTCTGAGCTTTGTGTGCTCTTTATAGTGTTCTGCATGGTAAATGCTAATAATTCGATGCGTCTAAAGCAGTTAGAATTTAGTGGGTGAAGACATACAACTTGATCAAGCAGACTTCTTGTTTGCAACCACTAACCATTGCTTTCTAGCAGGTCTGCTGATGAATCTTAACTTGATTCACTTAGTGAAGTGTATATACTTTCATGTTCTTCCTGTGTATTTATTTATGGCCCTAAGGTGGTATTAGTTCCACAATCTTAACTTCTAGTAATTTCTAGGTTCACCATTTGTCATTATCAACAATCTTTCATTCATGCTTTCCACATTTTTGAGTTTCACAAATTCCATGATTGTAAAAGAAACGGCTACATTCATTAGATGTAGCTAATAACTCTACCTATTTTCTCACAACATGAATCCTAAGCCTGCTTTGTTGGGCGATCTGCCACATTCTTCCAGCCATGAGGTTATTGTTCTCCTTTTGTCTGCAACTCATCAATAACTCAGTGGATAGAATCATAGGGTGCACTCAGCACTATTACAGTGGAATTGATGTTTTAGTCATAAACCATACTATTTTTTGCTTAGGGACTTGAGTAGCAAAGCATAGTGGTTCATGGTGCTTGGTACTTGTTCCTAATTAGCGGGTACTCCATATACAGTTGATAGTTATGAACTAATGTTCTGTTTTTGAACAACATGTCATTTTGTGAAATTATAACTTTTGAGCAGTAGAAACAAAAGACCGAACCATAAAGCTTGTGAAGAAGGATGTTGGATTGATGGTAGTATATGACTGTTGCATAAAACCACCACTCTTCCTAGCAGAAAGACTGTTGTCATATGAAGCTGTCCTTCTAGGCTCATTGTTAGCCTAAAAAGGGTTTAAAAGGCCTTTCACCTTAAGAAATAGGCTGAACTTCTAACAACTGAAAATGATATTTTTACCTGGCACAATAGCTCAGTTTTGTGTTCAGCTCTAGAAACTAATCATTTATAGACTCTCCTTTCATCACCCTCTTAGAAATATGTTTGGAACATGATGAAATCATATGGAACGTGGAAAAAAAAAAGTTGGAAACCTTAAAATTTTCTTGTTTGGTAGGTTTCTTAACCATGGAATGCAGCTTAGTTTAAAAACCATGGAGCACAGCTTAGTTTAAAAACCATTCCCTAGGTGTGGTCGTGGCAGGAGAATCTCAAGTGGGTTTACAACTTAGAGTCACAAGCACTTTAATAGTCTTGCTCTCACATAAGGCTTATTCTGCTCTTAGAGCATTCACAAAAGTATGATGTTCATCATCATGCATGGAAATGCCAGTTTCCTTAGTTATTGATGTCCCCTGGATTGGCACAAGAATATCTCATCAAAGTAGGTAATATGTTTTTGCAGGTGGATCAACCATCACTATTGTGCTATGATTATGGCCGTTGTTAGTCTCACATGGGAGATTAAAGGTCAACCAAATTGTGCTCAGAAGCAGGTTACTATTTTTCCATTAGATTCTAAATGCGTTGTCTGTTTGTATTTGCTAACAATTCCTTGAATCTTGCTCAGAGAGGGGTACAACTGTTCTTGCAATGGGCTATGATGCAAGGAGTTGCAATGCTTTTGCAAAATAGATATCAACGCCAGAGACTCTATACCCGTATTGCTTTGGGAAAGGTATCATCTTGAAATCACTTGTATGCCCTGCAAATCATCACTTTATGCTCTACTTTTGGTGTGGTCTGTTTCCATCTTAATTCTTGTGAGGCTTGTGGTTTGGTGAAGCTTGTCTACTGGTCTGTTTTGCAGGATAGGAACTGTCTCTACTTCAGATGCATATTAATTAGCACATCATATTTTCAATCCTTTTTTGTTTAATTGTTGTTTTAGGCTAAGCGAATGGATGTTGTGTGGGGAGAAACAGCTGGTGTGGATGGGCAGTTGTGGCTGTTGTGTCCTATACTATTCATTCTGCAGGTATTTATGCTACCTCTTAACTGGTGTTCTCATATACAGATGGAACAGGCCTGCTCTTTGCATCTTTCTACTAATCATAAGCTTAGACCTAATTTTGTATATACTTTGTATGGTTTGAACAAATGAAGCAAAGTATTAATCTGATAGCAATTGAATATTGCGTTACAAACATGAACTCATTCCAGCCTGGTTGACAAAGGCTGTAGTTTTCACTAAATTATTTTGGTGGGCTAAGAAATTCATGTTCTTTTGCTGTGAAATTGAGTTTGATGTTTAGACATGCTACTCGAATGAAGTAGACTAAGGAGCATAATGAACCACTTGTTTGGAATCAATTCCAAACTAGAAACTAGAAACTAGAATTGATTTCAATGCTTTAAGTGGATTGAATTAATTGATTCTCTAATTGAATTCTTGGATTTGAAATTTGTTTTAAAATTGTGGTATTCATTTGAATTGAGGTACTCGAAATACATCATTTACCCAACTTGCCCTCTTCCCAACCATCATTTTCTGTCTTATCTCTCTCATTTATTGATGTGATTAAAGTGAGTGAAAGAGATCCAACACAGCCTATGGCTATGGCTGGTCTACCGGTCTATATGGCCTGGAAAAGAAATAACTCTTTCTTATAAAATCTCAAGTACAAATAGTTATAATTCCTTACAACAGTGGTAGCCCTTAAATGGTTATGCAAACCCTTATAAAAAGAAATACAAGCCTTAAAAATAACTTAATCCGAGCTGTTCAAATAAATCCTAATAAAATAACAGATAACCGAAATAGAAAAGGAAAAAAACCCAGCTAAAAGAAACCCAACAAACTTGACATTCTGCTTTGTTGCTGCTCCTGCATCATTTATACCTGCCACTTATATCTAAATTTTATTTTATTATTTGAACTTAACCAAACCGCAACTAATCTTCTACCTGCCAATCCTCCACAACAATAGATGATAGCTATAGACTAGAGATGAAAGTGCAGGGTATAAATTCTAAACAACTATTCTATGGGCTAGCCATTCTCCCAAGGGACCATTACTGTAGACTTTATTAGTAGCATTCAAGGCCGGAGCGGAAAGGAAGGGGACAATGAACTGCTTGTATCCATAGATGCAGGATCAAATTGTTTCCAAGGAGCTGGGCAGAGATCCATGTAAAAGAGGGTTCTCTTTGGATAGACATGGCAGATGATACACCACTATAGAACCACTCTTGTGTTTGCTTAAACCAAGAGTGAACATTCAATCAATTTTGCCTGAATCTTTCATGCATAGATATTTTTTTTTCTTTTTGAGAAATTAACATCCAAACTACCACTAGCAACTTGATTGTGAGAAGATCCAGATTTCCACATATAGGATGTGCCTCTATCATTAAAGAGTAAACCAACTGTGTTCAGATTGAAAGCAACTAAAAGAAATTGAACAAAATCATGACAGCCACCAGCAAACCAACTCAAAATTAATGTGCTGTGACCATCTTCCCTTTCTCCGAAGGTGTCTTTGGGACAAGATTGGTGTTGAAGGAAAACAAAAAAAACTTTGCGAAGCAGATGAGGAGGGTGTTTTTGGGATAAAGTTCTCAACGGTCAATTCTGAAGCAAACTGCTCCGGCTTTGTATGTGCTTAATGGTCAGCTCTAGTGGTGCAATTTGCCATCATACAGAAATTAATGGTTCTAACGGGTTGTGGAATTCATATCAGTTGCTTAGAGTTTTCCAATCCCTGGAATGGAGTAAATGGTGTTGAATTGATTTCATTTCTACCAAAGTCTGAGGTTTCACAATAGGCAGGAAATTCTAGTTTAATCATGAGTGCCTCATTTGGGTTGGCAGGCTTTGTGCTCGTTTAACAAAGCATCAACAGGCTTCCTTTTCAGCTGTACATTTGTTTGAAGGAAATTGAAGAAGCATTAGGTTTTTCAAATGATAATGCAATTATTGTGATCTACTACTAGAAATTTTGACATTTGAATTGTTGAAGTAAGCATGATGGCCTGAGTTCAACCTGATTATATTGTAGTGCTTCTGGAATTGAGTTTTGACCTGAATAATTGTATGTGCTTCTGGACTTGATATAGGGTTTTGAGGCATATGTTGGACTACAGCTGCTCAGGACTGCATACAAGGGGGTCACCTCCGAGTGGCAGGTATGCTTTTATAACTTTCTTTCCCCCATTTTAAGATCCAGCAATCTACATCCGTACAAATTTGCAGCATTCAATTTGGTGACAGAATCCGGTTCTGGCAGGTTATTTTCTGTGGTGCCCTTTTGGTCTTTATGGCAGTCGGGAACTTCCTAAACACAGTAGAGATACTAATGGTGAAGTCAAGGTTTAAGGCAAAAATGAAAAGTAAGAGCAAGCAGGAATTGGATTGAGGCACTTCTAACCTTTAGGATCACTCCTTCCATTCTCTATAGAATCTCAATTTTGGAATGTTCTTTCATGGGTCTTGAAACATGTTTTGTTGAAGCTGAGGCAATGAAAGTTTCTCCTTCAGGCCTTCATTTAATTATACCCTTTGCCATTTACGTGTTTATAGCTCCCATCCTAATCGTGGAACCTGGCCGTGAAGTGAACTTGATCACTCAGAGAGATGGATGCAAACGGTCAGCAATAAAACCCTCTTAGTTATATGTCAGATGTCCTGTAATCTACTGTTTGGCTTTAGTTTAGGTAGAGGTCTGAGTTTCAGTCTCGCATAATGAAAGGGTGGTCCTTTATCCTTGAAAGTTATTTACGAAGTTATTAAAGGCGAGAATCTTGAGTTTTTGTTTGCAAATTGTCACACTAAAGGAAAGGAAAGCAGCTATAAAGAGTTTTTTTTTCTCCAGTGTTGTGCTAGTAGCGTGTATTTAATTGAACAAAATATCCACGTATTTTATTTGATCAACTTGAGATTTTTCTTTTGAAGGTTGCGCTTAATCTTTCTGATAATTGTGCTATTTTTTTTTTAAAAAAAAATTGAGAATCTGCCTGACTGAATCGGTGTCCTCGTCTTCGTAAAGCGGCTCACGTCCACCCCACCTCTGGTCAAATCACGGTGTCCTCTTTGCCTGGAAAATGGTGAATGCAGTGATGGGAATCATTAAATGACAGATGCCATGGGTGAGTACAAAATGTTCCTGCAAGTGCAGCTCTGCTCATCATCAGCCTTGTTGAAATCAGAATTGATATCCTCAGACCGGAAATTGGCATCTGTGAATGCCAGGCATCGAATTTAGGTGATGGCACGGTCTCCGGGCTTCGTGGGTTGACATGATTAGAAACCTGATGAGGGTTTTTGCAGAGCTTGCTTGTAAAACCAACCCATTCTTCAATGTGACAAAAAGACGCTCGCTTGCTCCATTTTGCGGCTGATTGAGCTGGTTGTCTCTCTAATTTTTTGCGTGGGAGGGACTGTCCTCTCTTCCAAGAACAAGTGATGTAACCGGCGGATTGAGGCTTGAATTTTATTTATTTACAATCATTGTGGGATCTGACAGGCCTGCGTCACCAATTTGAAGAAATAGGGCACTGCCCTTTGGGTCCAATCTCTACCCATGCGAAAGCCTTTGAAGAAAGCTGTTTGGGATTACATCACTCGATTCAAAAGAGTGTGACCCAAGAAAGAGATTCCTTGCTTGGATAAGCGGATGGATTTCATGTCTTAAGAAAGTATCCAAAATGCTAGATTTCATTTCGTAAATTAATGCTATCAACAATTGCGAGTGTTACCATCAATTGTCGGGTGTCGATATCCACCAGCTAACCAAACATATGCTATAGTTATAAAATCCATTCCAACTCATAATTCAGTCTACCATCTAAGTTACGAGTTAGGTGAACCAAGCTTATTAATTTAAAATAATATTATTTTAATTTTTTTTAGAAATAATTAAGATAATAAAGAATAAGAAATTAAGATCCAATTTAATATAAAACCTTGCAAAAATCAAATTTTAGACCAACAAACTTATGAGGTTGACCGGTACATCAGGCGAGTTTAATAAGATTCACCATAGGCAGGGAACAAAAGAGCAAGCGTGGAATCCACAGGTAAAAAGTGCACTCTCTCTGCATAATTTAATTAATTGAACTAACGAATATCTTGTTTTAAATCGGCCTGCAAACTGAATTCATGGTACTGATTTGAATTGAATTCATCATTGAATAAACTTCGGCCAATAATAATAATCTTTACAACACTGGAAAAGTGAAAAAAAATAATGTCTTTGTGGGCGTGGGTGCTTTCATGTAGGCTCCCGACAGCTGCAGCTAGCCCGTTATAACTCGTTCTTCATTATTATGTGATAACGGCGTCCAACTCAATTATGACGATTGGAAACAAAAGATAACGTGGTGTTCGGGTCAGTTTACGCATACCATGACTAATTCTACGGGTCCTGAAATTCAGTGTTCGGGTCAGTTTACGCATATCATGGCTAATTCTACGGGTTCTGAAATTAACGACCATGTAAGTCTCCAGTGACCATCATATGAGCAATTAATAACTCGAACCTGAGATTACAAAAGAAACAAACCCCTTAATTTCAAGTATTTATCACTTGGCCACCATCTAGATGGTTACAAAAAAACATAGTTGTTAAACTTTAGGTTTGTCATGTCGATCGATCAAAAAATTCAGGATTCAAAACCTTAGTTGGTGGAGTATATTTCTAATTCAATCAGCTAAAAATAAAATTTATAATAATTTTGGTTGATCAACCAATTTAATCCAAACCTAATTAAATCAATACTACAAGAAAAAAACACTTTTATTTTAATAAAAAAAGTTGGCCCAATAATTCAAAATCCCTTTTCATTCCAGTTGCTAGATTGGATTTCAAAACTTATATATACAATTCATATGTGAACATAAATAGAAAATCATGAAGACGTACGGTGTTATTGCTGCCGCTAGAGCTTTTATGGCCTTTGCCCATTATAAATAACTTTAGTCATAAGCTAACCCTATAATTTAATAAGAAATTAACTCAGTCATTATTGGCAAAACCCTAAGAATAGTTAATGCATGCTCCTTCCATTCTTCTTCATCTCACCAATCCCATCTTCCTTTCTGAAAAATAAAATGTTTGATGCATATTTAACACTAATTAAGAGAAAAGTCCAGGCTGGGTTGCGCCCTAACATGTATATGTATATATATATATATAAACCCTAACAACTGGTAGCCAACACCAACCAAACTACTCTTTCCCATGTGCTGAACCTATTTGTATTATTATTATTATTTCTTGCTTACATCTGCCAACACTAAAATAAATGTGGAATACCTAAATTCATATACATGTGCTGTGGGAATCATCATTGGATACTTGGATTTTGGTATCATTACAATTTTTTTTTTTTGTTAATTATTCACAATATTTTATATAATATATAAGGAGTACTCAGCCCCTCTTCAAATCTATTTTTTGACGATCAGAATTGTCAAGGTTATACTTCATCGACAAGGTCAAATAACTCAAATCTTGGAAACCTGATTTTCACCATTTAAATATTTTGAAAAAAGGAATCAATTACTAAGATATCGTATCATTACTCTCTTTTGGGATAAAAAAAAATGAAGAGAATTGAAATAGAAGGGAAACTCTACATATATATATATATATTGAAAACTTATATTTTTATCCATGTTTCTTCAACTAAATATAATTTTTTAATCTTTTATGCACTATAACACTAACGAAACGCAACTAAATATCACATAATTGACAACATTTACATATCAATGATAATATAGGGAGCAATTGATGAAATAAAAAGGCATAAATAGGCTATTGGAAGAAAGAAATAATTACAAAGGAAAGGGTGAAGAAGTGGGGGGAATGTGGTGATGGGAAGGAAAAATAAGAGAGCACATGGGTGGGTAGGGCATGCTTTGATGTAAGATTTAAGAGAGAGAGCGCCATGGTTGTAGCTAGTTGGATGTGTAGTGAGTGGGGAATTATGGGACAGCAATTTCAACATGGCTACCCACATCTGTTGCTCTTGGTTCTTGTCAAAATTAATGCAGATATGTATCCCCCATTATTACACTGCTGCGAAGCTCTTCCATTTTCTAATTATTTCCCCTTTTTTACCTTTTATTTTGAAGTTTAGTCGACACCATAATATTTATTTCATTTTGATTAGTTTTAGTATTTTTAAAACAAATTAATCTCTCTTCAATCTCAGTTCTAGCTCAAACTATATATATTATATTCCAACAGGTACTGTAATCACTACAAGGACCAACATAAGTTCAATACTAGCATAATAAATTTTTGTTATTTTTGTTTTTAACATAAGTTCAATACTAGCATAAGTTCAATTGATAATAATAAGTGGCATTTTTTAAAAGTTATAGATTTATTTTATTTTTGATATTAGTATATAAAAAATCATTGCTATACACTAAAAAAAACATAAATTTAATTATTTTTCAAGGGGAATTTGAAAAGCATCTAAAAACTGTATTTCCAAAAATGTTATTATTGTGTTTGGTATTGTGGTGTATATTTTTTTTATCAGTAATTTTTTTAAAAAAATTCATCAAAATAATATTTTTTTAATAATAAATTACCATGTTTTGTATAATGATAAATGATATTTTTTGAAAGTTCTAGATTCTTTTTATTTTTGATATGAGTATATCAAAAATCATTGATAAACACTAAAGAAAATATAAATTTAATTAATTTTCATGGGAAATTTGAAAAGAATCTAAAAACCACACTTCCAAATATGTTATTTTTGTGTTTGGTATTGTGATGTATATTGTTTTTTATCAGTGATTATTTCTTGAAAAGATATCAAAATAATATTTTTTAATAATTTAAAATAATTTAATAACTTTTCAAGACAAACACATTTTAAAAGAATTCAAATGCAATCTAAAATGCAATATATTTAAAACAAGAAAACTAGTTGAGAATTGAAACGTGATTAGTAGATATCTTAACTTTTAAAAATAAACTAGTATAAGAAACGAGTTCTTTCTCTGTCAGATAGTAATTAAAGGATAAACTATAGCTCGCTGTGCTTGCCATCATCAGTTAAATTGGACCACTGAAATTCAGATTCCTAACTTCATTTCTACCCTACAGGAAGAAAGTGTTCGAGGCAGACAGTTTCTTGCTTAATCTGTGCTGATCAGGTTTTGGATATTTATTTATTTATTTTTTAAAGAAAAATAATCCATCTATCGACAACTGTTTTGATTGGAAATACATTATTTTGTTTGTAATAGAATAATGTTTGTATGTGTCAATGATGTTGTTTGTCCCCAGACCATGATAGTGTAATATTTATTTATTTATTTATTTTTCCATTAATATATGTACAATAGACTTTCTTAATTATTCTTTCCACTTACATCTCACATCCCCCTTCATTAAAAATACTATAAAATCCTATAAATTAAATTAACACTAAACAAGAGAGATGTATTATCTATATTAATTAAATCTGAATTCTTCTTAATTAGATTTATATGTTGGTATCGAAGCAGTAAGAATTGGCAGCACTACCAATTAAGGGTGTGATTTCTTTAATACATTGCATCTAATTAGGTTTAACAAAAAAAAAACCTTAACGCTTGTTTGGTTGCATTGAATCACTATTTTATTATTTTTTAATTTTTTATTTTAAATTAACTTTTTAATATGTTTTGGATCGTTTTATTTTGACATGATAATATTAAAAATTAATATAAATTTAATTCATTTCCAAACAAAAATACACTTTAAAACATAACCTCCCACACTTTACATTTAAATGAAAAAAATAAATAAAAATCTATCCACCCGTTATTCCACTACTACATTAATCAAAGAAAATTAATAATTATTGCATGTAACACGCTTTAATTTGTATATCAACCGAAACAAATTAATTATTTTATATATTAGTTA